CATCTAAAACTAATGATGTAATGTAGGGGATTAACATAAGAATAAAAAAAAATGACCAAATTAAAGGGTGAATTCTGATTGATTTTTGTGCTCCCTCAAAACTTCATCATGGCCACCTTTAAGAAATGTCACCAGGTACAAGAAAATTAATAGTTAAATCACCAATATCTACATCTCTGGGAGGAGGGGGGCTGAACGATCCAGACACTGGGGTCAGTACCTTTGCAGGGTTTCTTAACTTGGGGACTGGTGAACTTGGATGGGAAAAATATCTACATCTTCAAAATCTCTAACCTTGACCTGAAATCCGGCATACCCTTCACGTACGAATGTAGGGAACAAACTACAGTCAGAAGACCCTGTGGTTTTGCCACCAAGGAAAATCAGACATTTTCGCATTGATGAGAACAAAGATGCAGCTTAACTTAAATCTCCTTACAACCCGCAGCCCGCTGATAAACGCCTGAGACACGCAGGGCCTGACATCCCTCCAGGAACTCACGGCTGCCTTATTAAAAACCCGGAGCTACCTTACCTTAACCATAGCCAGACCTCCACGGGCTTGGGGACCCTGCTCGCAGCACACAGAAAGGCCTGCAACTGTCTACCTTCCCTCCCTCCACAAACTTGAAAGCAGATCACCAGTCTCTCCCCAAAACCACAGCTGCAGCCCCCTCTGCCCACGGGTCCCGTCCCTGTGCTATAATAACACCACCTTTTTGAACCGAAAACGTCTCGAGGATTCGTTCTTGGCCGTTCTCCCGACCCCCACATCTGATCACACCAGTATGTCGCACTCACTGTTCGACATCGCGGTGGTCCCAAGACGGCTCTTGTCCTTTAACATTCAATACGTTGACGCAGTGTTACTGTACTTGTTTGGTAACTGTTTTGTGGTATAATTGGCTTTTTTCTTTTTTTTTGGTCATTCTAGGTATTTCTGACGGCTTTTTAGAATCTAATCTTGAGAAGGGCTCCACGGGCTGCTTCATGAGGCCAGAGCCCCCCCCCCGCCCCCGGGGAACCGAACAGATGCGGAGGCCGCACACCACGAGACGTGGGGTTCCGACAAGCCCCTCACCGAAGGGGACTTGGGGTGAGCGCCCGGAACCCCAAGCCTGAGCAAGGTTGCGAGGGGTCTGAGCAGCAATACAGGGAAGGCGCCTCACAGCCCCAGCCTCCCTTCCCCAGCTGGAGTCAGGACGCCGCCCTCCTGGGCAGGGGCCCGCGACGCCGACAGCTGAGGCCTCCCGAGGGCCTAGAAGGGCCGGAAGTGCTTCTTCCGGCCGCGCCCCGGGCGCATGCGGGTGGGCTTTCGGGTTTCACGTTGCGGAGCCACGTGCAGAGCCCTGCGAGGGGCTGAGGAGGCCTGGCGCCGGTGCTACAGAGATCACTGTGAGCACTGCTGAGGATAGGGCTTTTAGAGCAGGCAGGGAGGCTCCAGCGGGATGCCCGGAGGCCAGCAAGGAGGCGGCGGTGGCCGGCTGTGGGGAAGGTCGGGGCCTGTCCTGGCAGCGTCCACGAGAGGCCGGATCCCAGCAGACAGGCCCAAGATGGCGGCGCCACGACAGGAAAGCCCTGTGAGGAAGAAAAGGCGGGAAACCCTGCTTCCGGCCCCAGGAATGAATAGCCCGCCCCCTAGTTAACAACTGTCAATAAAAGAAACCCAGCCGTCGGGGCGCACAGTTCTCTCGCTCTCGCTCTCTGGCTCCCTGCTCTCAAGTCTGCGGATTGTACTTTTCACTTTAATAAACTCCCGCTTGTGTCGCTTGTCCGCCGTGCTGCGCGTCTGTCCTTGAATTCCTTCTCGTGACACAACCAAGAACCTTTGGTGACCCCTTCAGGTTTGAGTGAGCGGAGACCTCAGGGCCCGGGGTCCCCCCAGCTCACCAGGCAACAGAACTAAGAGGGACAAGGGTCGATACAGGGAAGTAAGTTTCCCTCTCTCTTCTTTCCAGCTCTTCCAGGACCAGCGCCTCAGTTTTCAGGGTCAGAAGTTTAATTACGGAAAACTCAGGATCACTCCGTCTGTTTGGTATCAGACACCCAAGTTCTCAAAACATTCACAAGCCTGGCTGTTAGTTTATGAGTTTACAGATACGAATGTTAGTGCCAAGTGGGCCAGAAAAGTGGACAAGGAGGTTTAAAGTGTAGTTTATTTCCTAATTTGCTATCCCCCGCTTAGAAATATTTGTCTAAAAAACTAGCATCTTTGTACAGAAAAAATAAGCCTTTCTAGCTTTATGTTGCTAGAGAAACACTGAAATCCTAAATTCCGTAAGACCACTTCCCCCTAGAATTTAGGGTCCTTTCATTACTACCCTTCTTCACTGGAAATTACAACTGTTTAGCACACAGCATATTATTTCTTGCATTTCGTTGTTTCCTAATGGTATCTTGGGAAACTCCTTGATTTACTCAGAAACTGGATGGATTACATTTGAAATTTATACCACTGACCTTTTCAACAATGAGGAGACTTCTAGGCCCTAGAGTTGTAGACCTGGGTCTTAATTTGGATTTTTCTATTCACTGTATGATCTCAAGGCAAATTATTTAACCTCTGTTTGCCTCAGTTTCACTAAATGTAAAGCAAAATGGGGAGAGTAATATTCAGCTCATAGGGTCATGGAAATAAATTATGCATGGAAATCACTGGACACGGTGTTTGGCAAACAATGACCACTTAAGAAATACCTATTATTGTAAAACAAAAACAAAAACCTACTAGAATTTGGTTATGCATTTAAATCATTTTTTTATTCAACAATTTATTGAACTTCTACTATGCACCATATTCTCTTAACATCTTTGCAAATGTTATTACTCTTACTAGAAGGCTTTCCCCCACTCCTTCCTTGCTTGACCAACCCCTCCTGTTTTCATTTTGCTGCTTCGGTGTCAAAATGACCCAGGAAGTTCTCCCTAAAACCCCTTCCTGCTCTGGCATCAGGGGCAGGGCTCCTGCAGTATTACCACCACACTAAGCACAGTACTGTGTGGTGACTTTAGTGCATTTGACTTCGGCCTCTGAGGACAGGTAGTGTTTTTCTTTGGTCCTGACCTGTTGCTTAGCAAAGAGAAAGCACAGATACATGTTTGCTGTTTACCGGAGAAAATGGGGTGGGAATAGTTGAACAGATGGAAGGACAGTAATACAGCATGATAAAGTAGGATTTCTTGCAATTCAGTGTGACAGCCATCTAATTGGTCTTCCTCCTTCAACTCTTGCCCTCCCCCGACAGCCTATTGCCCACCCCCAACCCCAACACTTAGATGGTGCTCTCTGTTGGAAACTCTAATGGTATCCTGTCACTTTCAGAGGAAAATTACAGCTTGGAGAGTCTTCCATTTCCTGGGCCCTGGCTATCTCTGCAATCCTGTCAGCTATCACCTTTATCCATCTTCTTTCCAATTTAGTCACTTCTGCTTCCTTGTTCTTCCTCAACGAGCCAAACAGCCAAACACATTTTGACCTCCTGTCTGCTGGAGTGCTTTTGCCACATATTGACATCTTTTGTTCCTTTATTTCATTAAGGTGTCTGCTCAAATGTCACTTCATCATGGAGGACTTCCCTAACCACCCTATCGAAATAGCACCCACTTTTACTTGTTTACTTAAGGCCCCTCCTCACATAAATCTGTATTTTCTAATTCTTCCCCCAGGCCCAACTGGAATATGAGCTTGGCGAAAGCAGAGACTTTGTTTTTTCACTGCTGTGCTGGGGGCACTTGGACAATGCCTAGCTTAGAAAGAGTAAAAATGGGAATAAAACTGTGTAGCAACAAAATTGTCTGCACATATATAATATACAGTTTACCTATGGAGAAAACCCAAAAGAACATACAGACTTATTGATGAGAGTTTAGCAAGGTTGCTGGATATAAACATCAACTTTAGCTAAAAACAGAAAATGTAGTAACCAAAAATATACCGTAAGAATAGCGTCAAAAAGCATAAAGTCCCTAGGAAATACTAACAAAAGACATTTATGGAGAAAATTATAAAACTTTATTGAAAGACATTTAAAAAGGCTAAATAAATGGAGAAGTATATCATGTTCATGGATTGGAAGACTCAACATTGTATTTAGTCTATAAATTCAATACAAATCCAATAAAAATTCCAACATTTTTGTTTTGTTTTAGAACTTGTCAATCTAATTCAAAAGTTGTACAGAAGAGCAAATGGCTAAGAATAGCCAAGACACTCCCGAGGAAGAAAAATTCGGTGGTAATTTTTTTGGAGGTGGGATTTGTCCTGAGATATCAAGACTGTTTTCTAAAGTTGTAGTACTCAGGATTGTATAGCACTGCCATAAGGTTAGACAAAGTGACCAGTGAGTCAGAATAGAAATCATCAACAGACCCACCCACACAGAGAGACTTTATTTATGAAAGAGCTGGTGTTATAGATCAGTGGGAAAGACTTAAGTATTCAGAGAATGGTGCTGGGACAACCACCACTTACCCATATGGAAAAAATATTATATTGAACTTCTATCTCCTACTTTTCACAAAAATCAGTTCAGAGCAGACTAAAGACAAATGTGAAAAGCAAGACTATAAGATGTTTACAATGCAGTAAAGAATATCTCTATGACTTTGGGTAGGAAATGATCCCCCTACCACCAAGCTAATTTGTATTCAGCTTTATCAGAGACTTTTCAAAACCAGTTACTTCCAGGAGGACATAGTTGACAATCCATAACGTTTTACAACTTTCAAACTCCCCTTCCCCAAAAGTCAACAGTCTTCTGTTGCTGTTTTGAAAAGGCGGAGTTCTCAGAAGGGGTGGATATTTCACAAGAGGCATGTAAGATCTTTTCACAGGTCAACTCGGACATGGAAGAAAGGAACTAAAAACTCTTAAGACCATCAGTGGGACGACCCACCACCTACAAACAGGAATCTCGGCTTCTTTAGAGCAACACCGTCTTGATGTTATCACCAGAAAGCCTGAGTACTGTTACCCGACACAGGATTTTAGGGGGGCCAAGGCCACATCACAACTATTTCAGTAAGTCAAGCATATGCTGATGGCATCAGGAAAGAAGACATGAAGTTTTGCTCCTCTATGCTGTAAGGCTTCTAAGCCAAAGTGGCTGACATGTGTGAATGTCAGAGAATCTCTCCTGGGAGCCAAGAATAATCTTCAAAAACAAGGACCGAAGATCCCATCTTCCCCATTTCAATCCAGCTTCTGAGACATTCTATTAGTGGTATTTGCACTTACCACAAAACACAACAACAATGTGTCTTATATGCTAACAACGTAAGTTTGGGAAAAAAAAAAAAACAGAACCCAAATTCTACATTTTTATAAAACTTGATTAAAGAAAAATAGTATTTCGAACAGTAGAGTCACTAGAAGTACAGAGCCATCAAAAGAAGTACACTTCACTTGGCATCCCCACTGCCTTCTGCTTTCTGTGACTGGACTGTGGAAGCATCTAGGTTCTTTGCAGCGTTGTTCCCCTCCTTGCCACCATCCGCTTTCCCCTTTCTCCCTTTGGGCAGCTTCTCTCCTTTCTTCGCAGGGGCCTTTTTAGGCCGGGGTTCTGGTTTTGGAGGAGCCGGTTTAGCAGACAAGCGTGCCGATCTCCTCTGTGGCTCATCCTTCACCTTCCCTTTGTCACCTTTAGCATCTCCTTTTGCCTTTCTCTTGGGCATGATGGCAGCAGTGCTGGGCAGGTGGCTTGGCCAGTCCAGGGAGGGGGGCGGTTTCTGTCTTCCTCACACTGCTTCTAGAAAGATTGCTTTAACAAACACAAAAAGTGTCAACCGTAACGGGAAATGACAAATTTAACTACATTAAAATGAACCATTTGTGTAAATCAAAGATAGTATAAAAAAGTAAAAAGGTAAGTTGCAAGCTGGGCAAAGATATTCATAACACATATAAGTGACAAGGGATTTGAATCCAGCATATATAAAGAATTTCTACAGATCCATGAGAAAAGGACAAAAGGAAAATTTTAAAACAACAAGCAAAAGTGTTAATGAGTACTTCTTAGAAGAAGTATAAATGGTGAATAAGCACATAAAAGTATGCTCAACCACATCAGTAATATGACAAATGCATACTAACACTTTACACCCATCAAACTGGTGGAAACTAAATTGTCTGACAAAATCAAGGGCTCGGCAGATGTGCAACAATTAAAACACTGTACACTGCTGGGATGTGTGTTTCTGTGCGTATAAATTAGTGTATTAAATTTGAAAACATTCTGAAGAGCAATTTCACTTCTGGGTATTTCCCTAGAGGAATTCTTGGGAGATGTGCAGAGGAAATCCCTGCGAGAATGTTTATGGTTGTCTCTGTAATTTCAAAACCCGACACCACCCACTGGCCTTCAGTAACAGAATAAATAGGTTTAGCAGCATCTCTGCGAGGGAATGCTATTCAGCAGCAGAAATGAATAGATTACAGCGACGTGCAAAAACACGGATGAATCTCAAGAACATACTGTTGAGTAAAGATGACAGGTTGCAAAATATGTACAGTATAGATCCACTTACAAGTATAAAAGTAAATGACATGTTTAGGCTACAAGCATGTAGGAAAACTAAAAAAACAGACAAACAAGGGATAAAGATAAAAATCGGGACAGTCGTCACATGAAAGGGGACTGAGAAAGGGATGGTGGTTGGAGAGGGTAAGAGGGCCCAGGGAAAGGGACGGGGGTAGCATTTTCTCCCTTGAAAGGAGGGTGGGGTGGGGAGGAGGACGGACATAGCTGACATACTATTCTCTAGATTCTACACAGATGTCTCTGCTCAAGAATTAATAAAAACTACTTTTAAAAAGTACGTAGCCCAAAGCACAGATTTAGGGATACACAGAATGGAAAGTGATTTATTTTGAGCTTGGATAATTAGGACCTGGGCCGATGGCTGGCATTCGCAAGCACTGTGTGAACTTTCTTAAGACTTTAGGCCAAGACCAGCTACATCTCTGCCCCACCGTCGAAAACATTTCCTGGGGAATTCTGTAATCCTATGCCCTGTCCCACTCCACAATATTTTATTTTAAGGAAAAAAAAAATTATCTCGTCCCTAAATTCCTCCAGAGTCTTATTTTGCTCTGTTTTGTTTTTGCTGGACCTCACTGTGTAGATACATGATCCTTGAGCAAACTTGGTTTTGATTTTTATCCACCTATAAATGGTGCTAAAACATCAAGTTATCTATTTTTCTCCCCATTTTTTCACCATGACTAGAATTACTGGAAATTTTGCATTTTTCCTTTCTTCTTGTGTAAGAGGGAGAAATGCGTTAGTATAAAGAAGAAAGGAGAAGCAAAGTGCCTTGAATCAGTCTGTATTTTTCCCTTGGTACCTTGTAAGAAGCTGCGAACAGATGGAAATTGAGAGGAGAAACACCTCTATTCTCATGCTGAAAGCAATTCACTGAAAAGCTACTGTGAAATTAGCTGGATCCTTCTCTTCCCTTGCTGTGCTCTTCCCTTGCCTCTAAATATCCTAAATGCCTGAGGACTGAAAAGTCCCTGTTACCACAGACACGTGCTGCAGTTCGAATGATCCAGTAGACTCAACCTACTCTCTCCCAAGGACATGCTTCCCTAGACATTACATGAATTTATGCCTAATTTATTCTCTTTTTTCTCTCTCCCAAATGTACCACTAAAGAAATGTGTGAACAATCCTTACAGAACAAAAGGCTTTTTTTTTTTTAATCTGAATTCTGACACAATAAAGAAAATAATTTTTAAAGAAAGTAATTGAGAAGGACACCAGAGATCACATAGCTCAACTCTGGGTATGGTAAAGGTGTGCCCAGAAAGGAACAGGCAGGAAAAGACAGCCGCTCTTAAAATGAAGGAACCAACGTTGAAAGATATTTTATAGCATGAAAATCATTTGTCTAGTGTTAGGGTGACATGGTTTATACCTGTTGCCCGGGTATAACTATTAATAATGCTCCCATTCACTCTCAAAAGTGTGCCAACTTGAATAAAAAATGAAAATGTCACTCTAAACCTTCTGCATATATTCTTAGAGGCCTTTTTGTTACCAGAGAATGAGAGAGGAAACCAAAGGGTGAGCTTTTGTTCTAGGACACACTTCCCTAAAGAATGGACACTCCATACCATTCTCCTTCCATCTCACTCCAAAACTGTGTTTCTTAGCCCACGTCCTGGTGTGGGAATGCTCACAGTCTGTTTCCTGGGCTCAGTCTTCTTCATGTTAGATCCCTTGCAGTCCATCCCAAGCAGGGGGGCCATGATCTCCACATGTCAAAGGCCGAAACACAGCAGGTAACAATAAAGATAAATTCAAGGAAAACAGGCCGCTGGCTGGATGCTGTATCTGAGTATACGAATATGGATTAGTTCCTTGAAACTCACCTTTAGGACGCTTATCAGGAGACCACGGGCTGACTCTCCAGAGACCTTACAAATTAGGAGACAGATACACAAATAAGGAAAAAGGGCCAGTGGGATAAAAGTCATTTCATTTCCGTGAAAGCCAAAGAGGGATGGGGAGGACAGCGTTCTCACCACACAGTGGTGTTAACTGAAAAGAAATTATTTGAGGTGGAGTACCGGACAATGAAACTATTCTGTATGCACTATAATTGTGGATACATGACCTTATGCATTTAGCAAAACTCAACTGTATACGAAGAGTGAAGCCTAAAATAAACAATGGACTTCAATTAAGAATAACGTGGAAACACTGGCTCATCAATTGTAACAAATGTACCACACCAATGCAAGTTGTTATTAATAAGAGAAACTTTAATAATAGGAGAAACTACTTTCTGCTCAACTTATCTGAAAAACTAAAACTGGCCTTAAAGAAATAGTCTACTAATTAAAAATATATATATATATTTTAAGAATTAAAAAAAGAGGAAATAATTTGTTAGGCAATAAAATAGAGAAGTCATAGGATTATAAATATTCTATCATGCATGTGAGAGAAAAGAAATATTATGAACTGGCAGATAAATCATATAAGTAATTTTGTAACTTTGGGAATACAGAGAAAGGACTTTCAGTGCTATCACCAGGGCAAGAAATTATCACAACATGGCAACAATGTTTAAAGTTTTAGGAATTTAGCAATTCCCCTTTGTTAAAATAACACTTCCAAAGACAGAAGTATATTAACAGACAACAGAACAAACAAAATAGTGAAAGTGTTGAATCATTCATCTTTGCCTTGCAAAGAATCGGGCTGAAATTCTTGTGAAAGTTCACAATTTAACTCTTCATTTAAGCAGATTGCTTGTTCTATAATGTGGAAAGGTATCTCTCCCTCAGCAGCCTCAGGGGAGAGGGAACATCTGCTCCATCCTTTTAAATAAATACTTTTGTTAGCTATGAAGACTTGCATATTTTATTAGAAGCAGACCCACGAAGTTTAAATTAACTGGTAGAAGTGGCTTTAAAAACCTAAAAAGTCAAATAAAAAGCAAATAGTCTGTTTCATCTGCAACAGAAATATGCAAATAATGAGTAAAATGAGGAGATGCAGGTGCGCTATAGTCTTCTGTGAGGTTAACTGCTGGGAAATCTCCAAACTCTGTCAATAATATATATAATACATCGATCTTCGTCCCCAGAAGTGAGCGGAATTTGCCCCCCTCCCCCACCCAAATTCATAGGTTGAAGTCCTAAGCCCGAGGACCTCAGACTGTGACTGTATTTGGAGATGGGCCCTTTAAAAAGGTAGTCAAGGAAAAATGAGGTCATGTGGGTGGGTCCTAATCCTATATATAAGAGTAGATGAGGACACAGAAAACACAGACAGGTGACCGTGTGAAGAGGTGGCAAGAAGGTGACCATCTGTGAGCTAAGCAGAGAGGCCTGAGAAGAAACCAAACCTGCCATCATCTCGATGCTGGACTTGCAGCCTTTAGAACAGAGAAAATAAATTCCTGTTGTTCATGACACGCAGTCAGCGGCATGTGTTAGGGCAGCCCTAGCGGACTTCCACGGGAGGGAGGAGCGTAAAGACCTTAGTGACCTACAACGCAGCTTGGATTAGATTCATTTTGCGGTCTTGCATAGCTCTCAAAATCCTTTTCCCATATTTTTTTTCTCTTTCATTATAAGCCTGTCTCCGGTATCCATGGAGCAAATCCCACCTCATCCTACACACCGCACCCCATTCCCAGCAAACAGGTACAAGGCACATTTTAGCAGCATCCTTTTGCTCCCTTAATGTTACTGACCTGGATTTCTGGGAGACAGTTCTAACTTGGGTTCTAGTCTCAATCCCACCCCAAAGTCAGAAGGCCACCTTCTTCTCTCTGTGCCTTGGGGTTGGAGGGAAGACCTGGGAGAAGGCTGCTAACGCCAAGCTTAGGAAAGGGAGGATAAAGGCTATAACAAAATAAAATAAAAGATCGTAGGTAAGGTGCAGTGTGCCACAGGATCAAGAGCTCACAGGGCATCAGCCACTATCTAGGGCCCATTTGTTCTCCACCTTCCAAAGGAACTACCAGCCAAGGTGGGCAGCCTGAGCTTCCATCTGGCATTGAGGGAGACTGAGGGAGGGAAGGGTGGTAGAAGAAGGTGAGACGGGCAGAGCGTCTGAAAGGGTAGGGCTCCTTCTGCATTTTGCCAGAAAACACCTGATTTGAAGAGAAGCAGAGACTCATAGGCTTTCACTGAAACCGTCACCCCCCTGCAACTGGTTGGCTTGGGCACACTCAGTTTCCCAGCTGAAGTACTCCTGCCCACTGGCATCACAGAGGGATGGGAGGGGACACATCTCCCAACGCCTCCCAGGCCCCTGAGACCCCTGCCTCCTTTCAGGGCACCACGTTAACTGACTTGTATTTCTGAGCGGTACAGAAGAGATTTCAAATGAAAATGTCTTGGATACATTTCTACTGAGCACATACCAAAGCTGATTATTATCTTGCTAACAAGGGAATGAACAAGATGATAAAAGGAAGGGTTTTTCTGAGAAGGTATGGAAATGGAGGAAGACGGAGCTGGGGAGAAAGAGAAAGAAAAGCCGCTCATTAGGTAAAGATTGCCCCTTCTTTTCTTAGGGCCGTAAAAACATCACATTCATAGCAGTCATTTCAGGGAACCTAGAGTAACGGGGTCTGAGAGACTGGGCTCGGCTAACCCCTAAAAGTAGTAGTTGCAGCAGCAGAAATAAAAGCAACGAAAGTAGGAGCAGTCCTAACAGTACGTCTAAGAAGGAAATCCTGAGGCTACCCCCGAGGCTGGCAGGTGGAATATCCAGACTTCTGCGCCAGAAAAAGCCCCCGATGGATCCCATTAACACGGAAGCAGGCCGTGTGTCAGCCAGAGGGCAGAGGCCGCACACCAGGGCTCGAGACCCGATTTTAAACAGGGGCTGCGGGGACCTTTCCCAAGCCTCGAGGCAATACGCGGAACCCGCAGTTGGTCCGTTTCTTAACTTCGGGATCGCTTGCTTTCTTTTGGCGGGGAGCGCAGGAAGCCTCGGGCCTTGGGCGCCCGCTCGGTGGGCCCTCCCGAAGGCAGGCCTCACGGAGCGGGGCCCCGGGGAGGGAGAGGCCGCGCCCAGGCCGGGCCCGCCGGCCTGCGGAGCGCTCGGACCT